GGACGCAGGACCTGGAGGAGACAGAGGCAGGAGCAGAAACAGCTGGCTAGGATAAACCGGTGACGAGGGTGGGGTTTGAGAGTGGGCTCAGGCCCTCTGGGCTCAGGGCGGGGATCTGGGGGCTGCGGGCAGAGGGGGGGCAGGAGGGGCCATGCAAAGGCTGGGAGGTGGGACCTGGCTGGCTTAGGGTGTGGCTGGGGTGAGGCCCTCTGAGCACTGAGCACTCCCTCCTGCCCTCATCCCCTCCTGGGCCCGCAGATGGTCCTGTCCTGTCCTGTCCCAAGGTTTCCCTGGGGCCACCACCAACCTCTTCCACAGCTAGACTGGGGACGAGGGGACGCATCTCTGAAACACAAAACAACGTCACCCTGGGGAGAGCAGCGCATCCTGCTCTAGAGCTCATCACCAACAAGGGGGTTCACCACCCTCCCAAGAGAGCAGGACGTCCCAGCGGGGTAACTGCTGTTCACAGGTCGTTTGTTCAATGATTAAGGTGCTCTGAGATCTGAGTTCATCAGCAATAATCCAATTGGTTTCTATTGATTCCACATTTCTCCCCGTACGAAAGGACGAGAGAAATAGGCCCACTTTTCAAAAGCACCTTCAAACTAATGGATGATATAATCTTAATCTAATTAATTTAGACCCAGCCCTGCCCAGGAACGGGGTATGTCAGGATGCCAGAGCTGGGCATCTTGTAAAATTTAAAGCTTTATTGCCAGAGGTTCGATTCCTCTTCCTGACAACGCGCTTGTAATCAGCGTTCTCCGACTCATCACCCCCATCCCGCTCGCCACTGCTCTCCTCACGATGGTCCAGTGAGAAGCGTTAGGCTGCATAGGACTCCTCAAAGGACCAACACGGTCGGCCCCCGTGGCCTGCTGCAGCCCATCGCTGGTGCCGTCAGACTATTCATTAAAGAACTGCCACACCACCAACACCGTCAACATCCCAATTTCTCGTTGCACCAATCCCGCCCCTCCCTCTGGCCCCAACAAGATGAATTCCACGACCCACACCACGCCCACTGATTAACAGAAGCCTAGGCCTACTGTTTGCACGAACCCTGTCAGGCCTAGCTGTTTATTCCATTCTCTGATCAGCCTCAGCTTCAAATTCAACACGTGCACTAATTAGACCCCTACGAGCAGCAGCACCAACAGTTTTGTGGGAAGTAACGTGAGCAATTATTCTACTGTCCGTCCTGCTAACGTACCATCGTTTTCACTTTCAACATTAATTTTTACCCAAGAATACTTATGACTAATTTTTCATCTTGACTACTAGGCACAGGATGATTCATTTCAACCCTGGCAATGGAACCAAGCGAGTTCCATTGATTGAACACAGGGAGAGTCGAACGCGTCTCTGGCTTCAATGTTGAATACACAGCGAGTCCACTTGCCTGCTTCTTCCCGGCAGAACATGCCAAGAGCATGATGCCAGACATCCTCACAACAATTCTATCTCTAGGAGAATCCCACGGCCCCTGCACACCAGACTTATACACAACTAACTCCTTTCAGAACCCTTTCCTTCATTACATCTTTTTTAATGAATCTGAGTGTCCTATCCACACACCCCGTTTGGAGGGGATGTGGGTTTTGGTTATCCAAGGGCTCCGGCTCCTGGGCAGTGTCCTGAGGCTTGAGTTTCTGATTTAACTGTCCCAGGGATATTCCCCTTGGGGTTATTGATGGAGGTTATGGCGGTTTTATTTATTTTGAAAACTGATGAGGGAGAAATTGTGTTTAAGTCTAATGGGATAGGGGTTGAGTATTTTATGACACTGGAGATGCTGGGTTTTTTACTGAGGTGGGCTTAGGAATTGCTGCCTTATGGAGCCATGGGACTGGAGTGGTAATTGTGACTGGTTGGTCATTGTCTTACTGGCTCTTAGGTAATATCAGCCCTGATATGGGTTCCCCTACAGGGAGCCCAGCATATATGGGTTAAAACTACAAGCATACGTTCCCAGTTCCCTGGGTCCTTAGTTACGCTCATACGTAAATGTGTTTCTTTACCCTCTGACTCCCTGAGCTTCACAACCAAATAGAAGTTACACATTGTTAAAGCCCAGATGGGCTCAAGCTGGGCTCGCACTAAAGCTGTGGCTGATCCCAGGACCTTGAAGTTCTTTCACAGAGAAATTAGTGCCCAGAGAACGTCAAGAAACAGAAGCTTCCCAGAGTCCACCATCCACCATGGAGATAAACAGCCAGGGACGTCCATCTGTGGAATCCTTTGTCTCCCCGCCCTTGGAAGCTGTCCCAAACGTGGGCCGATGGGAAAATGCTGACCAAGAAGGTCACAGCTCCCCTCCCCTACCTAAAACCCCAAATAAAAACCCCTACGCGTTTCTTAATGGGGAGCTAGCAGTGCTTGAGGCACCAGCCCTTGCTGTGCTCCCCCTGCTGGGCAAAGAAAGTAAACGCTCTTTCCTTTCCCCTCAAGACTCTGTCCTCGTTATTTGGATTGGCATCGGGTTCAGAGACTGAACTTTTGGTTACACAGTTGGCGACCCAGATGGGACCTGTGGGTTGTTCCCGCTGAGACCCCCTCGGCTTCTTCGGATGCTCCAGAGTTGTGCTCTGCGCCTGCCCCAGTTGTGGAAGTGGACAGCTGGAGAAAGACTCAGGGAGGCCTGATCACCCGGGACCAGTACTTAGTTGACTGGACTTCACCCAGGTCGAGTCCAGGTCTGCTCCCTTGGCTGGCCTCTGCGGAGTGCCCAGCACAGCCAGAGGGGCCGCTCCAGCCGCTGGGAAAGCGGGTTTCACTCTGGGAGGCTTCCCTCATGCTTCATCCCCTGGGTGGCCGTCTGGACCTCTGGAGACCTCTGGAAACTACCTTGGGGAGAAGGAAAGAGCGTTTGTGTGGAGTCGTGATCCCCCAGCCCAACTAGGTCAGTCCCCCGGTGTGCACAATCGAGGTCCCTTGTCTTTGCTCATTTGGGAAGATCTGTAGGCTGCGACTTCATTTATTGGGCACACCTGTCAGTAGGACACAGACTACGCTGGAACTGAAGTGTTGTGAGTTTTGGTTTCTTTGTATTGGCTTCCGTTGCTGGCTGAGGGTGTTTGGAAAAGCATGCTTGTTTGGTTTGGTTTGGTCTCTTTGGTTGTTGTTTGTCTGTCTGTCTGTCCCCTTTTGTGTTGACATGGGAGTCACCACATGGAGCCCCTTGGGAAAGATTTTGGCTGATGGTCAATCCATAGTTACAAGCCGATGACAAAAAATATGGTATTTTGTTGTAACACCACCTGGCTGATGTATGTCTTGGAAAGTGAGGAAAGATGGACATTGAATGGAACTTTGAGTTATTACACCATCTTACAGCTGGAGTTGTGTTGTGAAAGGTCTGGAAAACGGGATGAGTTTCCACCTGTGCAGGGTTTTATGTGGTTGCATGATCGGGTGTCCTGCCAGGGAACAAGCTGACGGTCCAAAGAAAAGCCAAGCTCCCAGTAGTCAAAGATGCTCAGATACCAAAAGAAAAACTTGATGAGGACATGCCAACCCTGAGCGTTTTAAATCTCTTTAATCCTAATTTCTATGTGACACAGCCCCTGATGGTAAATGCCCCCGACATTAGAAGGAAGCTCAAGAAGGTTGAAGGCACCACAGCCACAAGTTCTGGTCACTTGATGAAAGTTGCTTTCAAAGTTTATAATGCTCGAGAGGAACGTAAAGCCAAGCCCGCCAAGGGCTTTACACAGCTCCCCCAGATGGAGAGACAGAAAAGGGGAGCCAGGGCTGCATAGGGAGGTGCACCAAATATTGGGGAAAAATCAGTGTGCCTACTGCAAAGAAAAGGGGCCCTGGAAAAATGAGTGCCCTAAGCTGGAGGAAGGCATGAGAGGGAAAAATCGGGGTCCTCCTAACAAGCTCCCTGACCTCTTGAGTCCAAGACTCTGAGGAGGAAGACGACTGATGGGGCCAAGGGTTCTTTGCCATGCTGGTGGCTCCCGTTCCAATAGTCCCCCATGAGCCCTGGGTACAAGGGACAGTGGGGACACAATTGGCTGACTTTCTGCTGGGTACTGATGCCACTTATTCATCATTAAATAATTCCTCAGTTGCCATTGTTGGAGTCAATGGGAAAATTCAACAGAGCCTCATGCTGCAACCACTGGTATGCAACTTGGAAAAACGAAATTTGGATTCCTACCTAGGGTGCTTTGTGTTACTGTACCTGATTCATGGCAGTAATTTTTAAATAATAACAGTGGGAACTCTGTGTATGTGTGTCTATATGTATGTTAGATGTGTATGATGTTTTATATCTGCATTGTATGGCCAAAATTCAGAGCTCTATTTAATTGATTTAAACTAAATACATACTATAAATTCTAAATGTAAGAAATACTATCCCAAAGGTGTTTCAAGGTGTTCAGCATGATACAAAATGATCTTTGGTAAACAAAAGCCTGTTTAAGTTTGCTGGTTTGATTTAAAATAGGCATGTCCTCAAAGTTAGCATTGGTGGATATAATGCAGACGTATAGCCTGGGTCAACTGGTCAAATGAACTCATGTTATCTCTGTTAGAGAACTTATCAGCAAAAATAACTTGGTATAATAGCTGATTTTGTTTGATGCCTCACGAGGTTTTTGTAGGCAGCCTAAATTTAGTTGTTGAAAATGGGTAAGAGTTTTTAAGTACAACAATTATGTTTTATAGTCTGCATACTTGAAAAACACCTTCCAAAATCTTTTTGGAAATTTAAGCTTTTCAGAGCTTTGTTAAGTTCAATTAAATAATGAAAGTTTATTTGGTATCTACGTCATTTCCACATAAGATAAAATATTAAAAGTTGATTCCTAAGCATAGATTTGTCTGCGTTTGATTTCTTATCCCAAAGAAACTGAAAGATGCTTAGGCCCTATTGATAAACATGTTTTATGTATGCTGAGGAATTTTCTATGAGAAAAGACATATTTCTAAAAAGCCTGTATACAAGGAAAGTAAAATGTATGTTTTCAGTAAAGGAGATAAAAAGAATAGAGATATTTTTGTTTGTTTTGTTAAGAAAGACAAATTTGTCCTGAAGAACTAGGAAAGAAAATAAAAAAGGAAAGAAGACCTGGGACAAATTCTGAAGGTGAAAAGCAGGTGACAGAAGGTTTGTGGAAGTAAAACCCTGAGGAGTTTTGTTTATGGTCAAGGTGACTGAGATTGAAATGAATTTATTAAGTAAATAAGTTTCAATTTCAAAAGCAAGCTGATGCAAAATCACTGCTTTAACTCTGTTTGCCCTTGACTATTTCTGTTGCCACTTTGAATAGATGCATGAGCGTGGTTTTGCAGGGAGCGTTGTTTCCTATCTGAACAAATGTTTTAAATCTTTTAATATTTTTTGACAGGCTCTCCTCCACCCTGCAAAATATTCGAGTCCTGAATAAAGGCTTTCTTTTGACCTAGGAGAGGACGGAGAGTTTGTCTGGGGATTTTCAGAGGCCCCCGAGACGTCTCAGAGAAATCCGCTCTCTTCCTATAAGAAAAAATATTAAACCCATTAGGCTTATTTGGTATGTTAAATTACATGGGAAACATTGTCAAGTAAGTAATAATAAACTTTTTTAGATGGTATTATGTGGATAAATGTTATAGATATAAGTATTTCAAAAATTATATAATAGTCCTAAAATTCCGACCTGTTCTGATTGTCAGCCATGATTCTGGTTATTACCTCAAAGTGTTACATGTCTCAAGAACTGTCAAGTGTCTTTGTCAATTGCCATTTTTTGAATGTTTGGTTACTTGCAGACAGTTGTTTTATGCTGATGTTTTTATAGAAGTGTTTTGTCTTCAGAGAAGTTCATAAAAAGGGTTCTAATACAGGTTTCTGATATACTTTCCGATTATAAAACTAAGCTGGGTAAGAAATTACAGAACTCTAACAGAGAAACTGATGAGCTCATAAAACTGCTGACAGAAGATAAGAGCAAGAGCCAGTGACACAGGACTGAAGAAACTGATGCAGATAATTATGATTATTATGATTTCTTGTTTAAGATATTGCTGATTTTTAAAATTTTTTTTTCAGATTTAAGAAGACATATTTCTCTTTTCTCTTAAGGAACTATAACGTAGCAATTTGTAAGCAAAATTGAAGCATTTATCTTTTTCTCTCTGTCTAAGCCCTCAAAAATGTAGAAACTCTTGATGAGTAAGTATTCTTATTTTCATGGCAATATGATCGTTTGCATAAGTTCAATAAGAGTCTGTTCTTATAGGAGGATGCAACTGGAAATAGTGCTTATATTACCAAGGCTTTGACTAGAAAGTCATATTTGAAAAAAACCCCACACAGGCTCAGATACGACAAGACAGCTTTCGAGGTATAGAGGTTGACTTTCTGGAATAAAGCCACTTGGAAATGTTGGCCTGGTACCTTGCTTATGGGTTCCCTGGTAAGCAAGCCCTGGTAAGGGTGAGTAAAGAATGTCACTCCCTCTGGCAGGTGCAAAGAACCCCAGGCTATTTTGGGGAAACTTGCAAAGAGAGGAATTCACCCAAGACTGTAGGTATTGCAGGTGGAGTCTGATGACAAGTCCTTGGCTTGGCTTTCCTGGCCTTGAGAGGCCTTTAAAGTTCGATCTGAGATTTCTTATAAAAAATTCCAGCTAAGTAGGTTTAAAAGAGCCTATATGATCAATTGCTATTCTTGCTGTACTTATGTAAATAATCGGGCCAAGTTTATTAAAACTAGACATTTTGCAAACCAGTTAGTGTTAATTTGGCTATGTTTGGTAAAATTGAGGGTGATTTTAGAGAGAAAAAATTATGTTTCAGTAGAAACCATAATACACATTTGTGGATATTAGATCCTAGTTCTGATAATGGTCTTTGAGGTTCTTGTTATATCTGTTAACTGAACTGGATCCTGAATTCTTCTAGTCTCCTAAAATATCTGGCTACAAATCTCCAAACCAACATTTTCAGTTTTCCCCCATCATTTACATTCAGAATCATTGAGAACTGCATCTTCCCTGTTTCCTGGAGCCTTGCAAACTGAAGGGGGAGGGCTTGATATGAACCTAAGAGAAAGTCATGTCTGCTCCTACATAAGCCACTCAGAAAGGTACGAGATAGCACCAGCAGAGACACTCGGAGCTGCAAAAGATGCTCGACTCAGACACCTAGAAATCTTTTAACTGGTTGCCACCTGGGCTCAGGAACTGATTTATAACTTGCTGCAACCATTAACCTTGTTTTCCTTTTGTTTCTCTAGAAATGTTTCTTATTAAATACCTGGTTACAGCAGAATGTCAGATCATCATACTTCCATCCTAGATGGTACGAAAACAGGTATTGGTGACTGGTTTTCAAGCTTATTTTCCTGGATATCAGAAGGAGTCTGATCCACGTTGTCTGGCATTCTACATTTCTGTTTGTCTCTGCCCCTATTAATGGCTGGGATATGTATTATGGTTAAATTTGTCCTCTGCTGTGTTTCCAGCATTTGTAAAACTGCGACTGAGACTACACCCCACAGGGAAACTGGCAAAAACATGTTGAAGCTTTCCACTGCAAAAACCCCCTAGCTCTTGCCCCGATTCAGCAGGAAGCAGCCAGACGAGCATGACGCCCCTTTTCCATGGAAATGGAGAGTAAGAAATGACAGTGGGGGATAGGTTACTGGTTCTTAGTTAATACCAGCCCTGATACAGGTTCCCATACAGTGAACCCAGCGTATGTGGGCTGAAAACTGCAAGCACACGTTCCCAGTTCCCTGGGTCCTTAGTTACGCTCATACGTAAATGTGTTTCTTTACCCTCTGACTCCCTGAGCTTCACAACCAAATAGAAGTTACACATTGTTAAAGCCCAGATGGGCTCAAGCTG